GATTTGTAAATGTTGGCCATGGAAATTACATGGGACAGACATTGGGATGGACTGGTGAAGGTCTCTGTTGCCCATCACAGTTCATCTTATGTAACTTCCTGCTCAGGTACTGGAAAAAGAATTATCTTCTTGCCTAGGGAATTTTGCCTCATATAATCTGTTACAGTAAAAAAAAGAAAGGCAAAATCCATTCCAAGGAAGACAATAGCCTATTGTGAGATAAAAAGGACAACATAAGGACAACATGTACACATTAATTGGATTCTTCCTTGTCACCCCTTCTGTTTGATTTCATTCAGTCCAACAAAAAGGACAGGTGTGGAGTGAGAGTGGGGGACCCAAGTTATAAGGAGAAAGTGTCTCAACAGGTTGTCTCTTTATTGTCAGGCTCCAGGTAGGTAGAACTGATAAAGGTGAACACTGTAAGCCCTAGCAGAAATCTCCTTCATAGACATGGAGTAGTTAGAACATGCTGATTACTAGCCTTTTCCCATAGAAATCTCAGAATATTAATCTAAAAAGAACTGTATTATTTCCTTATAATCATGAGGTCCAGCGAGTGGTGTGACTCACCCAAAGTCACACAAATAATCAGGAACAGAGCTGAGATCACAGTATAAACCTTCTGACTCCAACCTCACGGCTCTGAGTTCCAAATATAACCCTATTAAACTGCTGACCTTAACCTTCCCATTCCCCATGCCTTAACTTTGGAGTAGCCTTAACAGCGAGAAGAGCTGCTACAATGAGAAGCCTGCATGCTGCGATGAGAGAGTAACCCTTGCTCTCTACAATTAGAGAAAGCCTGTGCCCAGCAGTGAAGACCCAGGACAGCCAAAAATAAATAAGTAAACAAAAGGAAAAAAAATATATAATTAAAAAAAAAAAGACCTGCTGGTACCCCACTCTTACCATGACTTGGCTTCTGCTTACCTTCTGGGCTTCTTGTCTACCCCTTTCTTCTTGGACATCACACTCAAGACTTCCTAGAGTTCCCAGAAAACCATGCTATTCTCTTCCCATTCCCACCCTCCACTCTACCCCTGGTGTTTATACCTAATTCTTCTCTCTGCAATGTCCTTTACCCCTCCTGGCAATGTCTGAATTCCTACTGTTCCTTAAGTCACTAACCTGATTCCCCAGGATTTAAGCCTCCCAGTATCTCTGTAATTCACAACTGGCTGTGGCTCTTGTCAGTGTATTGCAATGATTGCTCACAAGTCTTTCTCATTTATTGGAACAAGAGCCCTGGGCGGGGGCTTTAACTCAGTAACAAGTTGCTCTATAAACATTTACTGAAGGAATGAACAGACAACTCACCTCCCTTGGAAATCTTGGCATTATCTGGAGAAGTGGAAATCTACCATTTCCATTTCCAAAAATGGAAATCTGCTTTATGAGTATCATCATTGTTCATTCGGTTTGTTCTTTAGGCTTATAAAGTCTCCAGAACTCTAAGTTCAGATTAGAAATCTATTATAAGCCAATAACCCTCTGAGCTGGTCTCCTCATGAGAAAGTTTCTCAGGATAGTAAACTCCAAGATTTCTAGGGAATGTCTGTCTTTTTGCCTTAAAATGACCTTAATACATAAGACTAAATACTTTATGACATCAAGGTACTATGTTCTGCTTTTTTGCAAAACAGCTTCCTAAGTGCATTCACATGAACTTCACGATAACCCTCTGGGATCAGTAGGGTGATATCGGTTTCCCTCAGTATAGATGAGAAAACTCAGGCTGAGAGATGGTAAGGCACTTGCCCAAGGTAACACAACAGAGCTGAGACTAGGACCCAGTTTAGCTTCTTTTGTACAATACTATGACCTTAAGAATGAGCAGCCCAGAACCACAGATCTTGGGTATCTAATGAGAAAGCTCCAGGAGCTTCCTGGGGCTGAGAGTGCATAGAATATACACGCATGTGCACACTCAGGGTGCCTGACCTGGTGTGTGAGCGGGCAGGCCTACCACGGTGTTGGCCTGCCCTCTCACTTCTACCAGAAGTGGTGTCAGCAGTGCTGGGCCTAAGGTCTGGCCCTTGCACACTGGGTCAGCATCTCTCCTGAGCAGGTGATCCTATCTTACATGCAAAGAGGTGTATTTGATAGACACTTGGTACCTCAGACAGTAAAGAATCTGCCTGCAGTGCAGGAGACTCGAGTTCAATCCCTGAGTCGGGAAGATCCCCTAGAGAAGGGAATGGCACCCCACTCCAGGATTTTTGCCTGGAGAATCCCATGGACAGAGGAATCTGGCAGACTATAGTCCATGGGGTCACAAAGAGTCAGAAATGACTGAGTGACTAACACTCAAATTTATAGAAAGACAATGTTATTCACTTCATATAACCTAATATAAAACACAGTTTCCACATCAGTTATCAGACTTTTAGGAATGCTTCCTTCATTTCTTTTTTTCCCTTTACCTACCATTTAATTAGAATTGAGCACAGAAAGTTGAATAAGGAAAACCAGGTCCTTCCTCAAGGAGCTCCCGTTGACGGTCTGTTCCATCGCTGCCTTTGCTACTGGAGCAACATGCTATGACCTCCCAGCATTTCACCACCTAAGAGTCCTCTCCAAAGTTGAGTGCACACACCCCAAGCATGGGGCAAGATAATCCACTGGGGTGAGAAAGAGGAAAAATTTAAGAGTCCTATTTCTGTTTGGTTCATCGCAGTCTTCCCTAATTTTTATTTTGGGTGTTTTATAACTCATATTAATTCAGTAGTACACATAATACACACAAATGTGTATATTTATACATAGTATGTCCTCAATTTTATTTTTATTTTACTGATAGGAATTTCTGATAATAAAGTTTGGAAACCACTGCTTTAGAACAAGGAAAGGTATTCTTTGAGGCAGAAGCAACGTCTCTTTTTTAAAATTATGTTCTCTGCTCTGAAAGCTGTGAGCCCCTCATGATGGCCATGGCTATACGGCCTGATCTCTTGGCTGGCGCGATTGCCTTAGGAAGCACAGAAACTCAGGGCACACACTTTCTCCTCCTCCCAGGATGCTTCACCGGCTTCATCATCACCTCGGACATTTGGGAGGAGCTGGAAAGCCAAGAGAAAGGTGGGGGTGAGGGAACAGTCTCTCTTCAGCTTTGCCGTCTCTTCCTCAGACGGTGGCTTGTCCAGGAAGAGCTGGTGTTATTACTCTACACCCATCTTTGCAGGCTTTCTTTCCCGGCTCTTGTGAATTTTTTGCTCCCCATTCTGTACCAAATAAACCAGAACAGTGAGACTCAGCCTGAAATCACAGGCTCCTGAAATCACATGACCCTAGTTGCTCTTGTTAAAACTGGAAGGAAACCACCAATGCAGATAATCCTTATTTGATTGGAAAAGGGGGACAGAGCCTGTGACAGACCTCAGAAGAACTTCCTAAGAATATCTTCCCTGACCATGAAAGCTTTTTAAGATTAACTTGGCAGGCATAGCTATGTTCTGGGAGGATTCCATCTCAGTCTAGGGACCAAAGCCTTGGGCGACGAGTCATCTTGGCCCTGTTCTCCATAAACGGTATTCTTTGGTGGCCTAGGGAGCTGAAGTTGAAGCTGTCCCTGGCAACTGAATGTTCAATTGAGCCCATTCCCTTCCTTCATCAGTGTTTGACAAGCTCTGTCTCCTGTTTTAGCAAGATGTGCCTCAGGTTTCGCAGTCTGAAAAGTGTTTTTCACATGCTTCAATAGTGTACCTAACCTTTTTGGTCTATGTACAAAAAAGGCTAGGTACAGTATTTAGATATGAATTTCCAATTAAGAAACAAATAGTAATCCTTAAGAGCACTAGAAAACACTACCAGATTATTAGTTCTTTCCTCTTTGAATAATTATTTTTGGCTGCACTGGCCTTCACTGCCACGAGAGGGCTTTCTCTATTTGCAGTGAGTGGGGGCTACTCTCTAGTTGCCGTGCACAGGCTTCTTCCTGTGGTGGCCTCTTTTGTCGCAGTGGCTTCTTTTGTTGCATAGCATGGGCTCCATGGCACGCAGGCATCAGTGGTTGTGGTGCATAGGCTTCAATATTTGTGGCTCATCGGCTCCAGAGTGCAGGCTCAATAGTGTGGCATTTGGGCTGAGTTGTCCTGCAGCATGTGGGATCTTCCTGGACCAGGGATCGAACCAGTGTTCCTTGCCCTACAAGGTGGATTCTTAACCACTGGACCACCAGGGAAGCCCTCCTCTCCTCTTGCATGCTTCAATGTATTTTCTGTTTTCATTTTCATGCATGTCTGAGAACAGTTCAGCCCAGTATAGTTATGAACATCTTCTTCCCACCCTCTATATTCTCAAATCATTTGGGAACTTCCTGACACTTGCTTGGTTCAAAGGTTTACCCCTCTCAGGAGCACCTGTGTTGAAGTCAGGGAAGAGAAATAAATGGTTCAATGTGAACAGCAGGACCCTCTTAAGTGATTATCCCACAGAAGACTGGTTCTTTCTTCAAGATAAGTGAAGATTTTCTCATTCCCATCTATGGATGAAGGAACTGAGTGAGGCTCCACTTCTATTACTAACAGTAATAACAATACAGTAGCTTGACTTGCATAGCACTGACTCCAAGTCTACACTCTGCTAAGTGCTTCATGTAGATTAATCTGTTCAACTCTCAAAGTTCTGGTTCTATTATCCCCACTTTCAGATGATGACACAAAAGCACTTAGAGGTAATTTGCCTGAGATCACACAGTCACTGAATGACTGGACTCACACCCTAGGAGTTTGGCCCCAGAATCTTTTCAGGGATTTGTTCTAACACCAAATTTCAGGCTCTCCCCTACCCTGCCCCTGCCATCCCACCCAAAGTCAAATATACTTTCCCCTGGAGCAACCCACTCCAGCATTCTTGCCTGAAGGATCCCCAGGGACAGATAAGCCTGGCAGTGGACAGTCCACAGAGTTGCAAAGAGTCAGGCACAATCTGAGTGATTAAACACACACACTTGTAATAAAACTCTGCATTCCCTGACTTGACTGACTATAAATTGTTCAAACTTTTCACATATTGATTTACTTATTTAAAGAGTCGGTTCTAACTTCACTCTGAGGTTGAAGGGTTGGAAGTTCTGTTTCTGTTCTGGTTACCACAGCCAGTGCACTTGGAGATATTATCTTCCAGACTAGTTTCTTGGGACATCATTTTGCTGGTCCACTTCTGAATGTGGCATTATAGGCGAAAGAATTCATCTAAGAAACACCCCAGCGAGCAGATTCAGAAACTGGGCTGGACAGGAAGAACAAGAAAAGGCCTCCGTGTCAGTTTGCCCTGGACAGGGAAATCACTCTACCTTTAAAGGCTTCCTGGGGAGACAGCAACTCTACACACAACTCCTCCTTGGGTTGGACAACCCCCTTCCCTGGCAGCAAGTTCCCTTTTCTATTCTAAACCTTTTAAACTACAACTTAAAAATAAACTTCCTAGAGAAGGGAATGGTAACACACCCCAGGATTCTTCCCTGGAGAATCGCATGGACAGAGGAGCCTGGTGGGCTACACAGTCCACGGGGCTGCAGAGAGTTGGACATGACTGAGTGACTAAGCATGCACACACAGATGCCTGCGATGTGACAGACATTTGAGAGTTGACCCACATTATCTCATTGTATCCCTCATCAAACACATGAGAGAAGTGCTGTTATTATCCTTTTTTAGATGAGAAAGCTAAGCACGGATAAAGTAACTTTCCCAAAGTCAAACAACTAGTTAGTGGCACAGCCTAGGTATGAATGCAGATGAAACCTCGCCAAGGACCAGTTTGGAAACTTTATAATGGGCTGCCTGCCCACTGAGGCTCCATTTCCTATGCACAGGACACTGTGCAGAGAGAAGGGCTATTCGCCAGCATCTGGATCATAGGATTAGATGCCTGTTATTGCATTGCTTCTGCCATTTTTTTGTTTTAAACAGATAATTAGCTTTAAAAAGCTCTTAAGTTCAATGATCATCGAATGCAGGAGGTGACTAATTGTGGCTGGGGCTACTTTGAAGGGCATGTACATAATCACGGACTGGAATGGATGATGAAAGGCCACTGTGGTCTCCCCTGCTGTGAGGCAGAGGTCCTTGTAGCCAGATGGCCTTGTTCTGGGCCTGACTCCCTGCGGTTCTGCTTTCCTGTGTTTTCATAACCCTTGGTGCTCACCTGGTACTTCCGACAACTCACACGCTCCTCTGAAGCTTCCTGTTTTCCAGTGAGATGTGCAGGATGAAGCATCACCCCGAGGACCTACACCTGACGTACACTTACCTGTGCATTCTGAGAAGCAGGCCTTGCTTTCTAACAATCTAACAAAATGCTTTGGGACTTCAAACTTTCCCAACCTCTGATCATCCCAGTAGAAACATCATTGCTCTTCTAATACAGAATTAATTTGTGTGAAGACACTGGGAATCATGTTGTTAGAAGTAACTGTAAGTGCTGAGTCGTATTTCTTCATGACTATTAAAGTGAATTTACACAAATACAGTTATATACATACCTCGACTGGGGCGGAACTTGTTCAACAAATGTAATATGAAGAATTATGGTGGGCCCCGATCTTTTAGAAATTTTGCTTTTAAAAAATGCTGCACCTGGAATATAGCCAATATTTTATAACAACTTTAAATGGATATACTCTATGAAAGTCTTGAATCACTAGTCGCTACATGGTACTCCTGAAACTAATATAATATTGTAGTCAGCTATATCTCAAAATAAAAAATGCTATACTTGATGTTGTCCCCTTCCATATTCCTGCTCTTCACCCTGCAGTCAGAATAATCTTTCTGAAACACTAACCTGGTCACGTCATGCCTGTCCTTAAACCCTGCAATTGTCCCCATTACTGTCATGCGACAGTGGGGTCTATTTTTAAAAATTAACTAATTACTGGCCATGCAGTGTGGCTTGTGGGATTTTGCAGCTTGTGGGATTTAGTTCCCTGACTAGGAATTGAACCCAGGGCTTTGGCAGTGAGAGCAAGGAATCCTAACCACTGGCTCACTAGGGAATTCCTGATAGTGCAGTCTGACCTGCCCCAACCCCCTTCCCCTGCATCCTGTTCTTTGCCCAACCTCTCTCATTTCCCCTCACATTCTACTCTTCAGCTGGTCTTCTCTCCTGCTTCCTCTAACCTCCAAGTCTCACACAAGCCCTTCTCTCTGCCCATAACAAGCTCTCCTTAACTCTCCCCCAGAACACACACTTCTCCTCTGCCTAATTCCAATTCATCTTTCCCTGACCCTCCTTCAAGCCTCCATCCCCATTAAGCTAGGCTAGGGGCCTGCAATGCACTTCCCTATCCCAGGCCTTTTTCATACTTACATGTTTAAGTGGTCTCCTCCTTAGGCAGCTCTGTGAGGGCAGAAAATGGGTCTGTCTTATTCATATTGCTGCATATTGGGTGTGGCATAGAGTGGGACTCAACAAATATTTACTGAATGAATAAATGTATCAGTGACATCTCCAAGATCTATCGAAATGCTTCTGTCAGAACTTCAAAGAGGATCACACAAAAACTGCTAATACGTGAATCAGGCTGCTGTAGAGAGGGTTTAAACTAGGTCCTTATGTGCATGGATGGGCTTCCCTGGTACAGCTCAGCTGGTAAAGAATCTTCCTGCAGTGCAGGAGACCTGAGTTCAATGCCTGGTTGGGGAAGATCCCCTGGAGAAGGAAATGGCAAACCACTCCAGTATCCCTGCCTGGAGAATCCCATAAACAGAGGAGCCTAGCAGGCTGCAGTCCATGGGGTCCCAAAGAGTTGGGCACAACTGAGGGGGTAACACTTCACTTCATATACATATATTCATACACATCCCCTTAGCCATAGTCATCATTTTGACTCAGAGAAGACAGCTATGCTGTCAGCAGGAAGCCTTCCACCAAAGTGGGCCATCACTCTTCCTGAAAACCCTGAACCAAACTATTTAGGTAATTCTAAGCCCTATCTGGGAGTTCTCAAAACGGGTTATCCTGAGTCAATCTGATAATCAAAAGTGTCAAACATGTTCAAATAAAACTGAAGCTAATATAACACTTCCTTTAACCATGGACTGAGAAGCACTTCTTTGGCATGGGTTTTGTTTTGGATTTTGATCCTGGAATCAGTTTCCTGTTGATTATAGCATGCAAAACATGCCCATATTTTACACAGACATATGTTCCATAACTGATTCCATTAATGCTGTGGTTTTCAAATCTCACTTTGTCTCTCACCCCCACTCCTACCCCTAGAGATATTTGGCAAGGGCTGCAGTCATCATTGCTTGTCACAATTTGGAAGGGACACTCCTAACATCTGGTGGGGAGAGGTAAGGGAGGCTGCTAAACATCCTAGGATGCACAGGTGCCCACACGACAAAGAATGAGCTCACTCACAACATCAACAGTGCTGGTGCCGAGGAACCCCGAGTCGAAGTGATATTCTGTAGACACCTTGGCGCACAAGAACTAGGCCCTCTTTGTCTATGTGGGGCTCGTCATGAAGTATGGAAACAAAGCAGAAAATAAGTTAAAAAGCAGTAAGAAAGCTGTGGATCTTCCCCTGCCTGTGATTTAGAGATTAAGATGCTCAGCTTATCTCTAAAGTAGAATTATTCAGTTTGGGGAGGTTTCCTAGGTAGATCCCAATCCTGAATCAATGAATCTCCTATGGAAATCTCATAAAACAAGGCATTTAGTGCGCAATTGAACAGACTCTTGAGTGTGAAAAGGAGTTTTGGTGAATTCAAAACCATATTTGTTTTTCACACTGAAAATGTTCAGGTCATTTTCTTTTTCTAATAGGATAACCATTTGGACAAAAATATCCATATGATATGCAGGTGAAATGTAAATTGCTACTCTTCTCCACAGACAGTCCAGTATATTTATACTTAATCCATAAAGGCATGATGTTACAAAACACATTTGTATATTGTGAAGCCATTTGGCATCAAATTTTCCAATTTATAGACAACTTTGTATTTACATAACAAATTATTAAATCAACCATTTTTCCGGCTTATAAAAGGTCACTGAGGTACACACACAGTGTGTATAAAAGCAGATAAGGCTGATAATACATATTTACAGTAGATACAAATTAATCTTTCATATTTGAAGATAATGCTTTTTATATATTTTTTCTACATCAGACTCCCCACTGTTAGCAGGTTTTCCCATGCTTGAGTTGTTTATTGCTTTTTGGCTCACTGATTTAATATTCACTTCTGGGTTGTTTACACATATGAATTACTAATATTCTTATCTCTTTGGCTAATGCAAATGTGATAGAATGAATGAAAGAAAAAGATAAACGATAATTCAACATTACAGTTCTGGTTGGTTGATAGTATTTGTTCATGGTCCCCAAATGAGTTGAGTAATGCACCACTCATTTTATATATGACAATGAGAAGTTCTGAGTCTTGCATTACACCATTTGGGCAAAAATGGGCAAAGTAAACAAGATATCAGAGTTTTGGTAAGGTCTAAAATCTTGGCTTTCTTTTCAGAAAGAGTAAAGTCATCAGCATGTTAAGCATCTTAGATTTAAAAATCTCAATGCAAAACCACTTGTGATTTACAAGGGAACTTTGCAAACTGAATGGATGATTTCCAAAGTTAACTACAATATGTTATCATGGTCTGAAACGAAAAAGAATCATCTCATGGGATAAGTCAGCTGAGAATCTTCATAAATGTTACAGAAAGCAGAAAAACCACTCTCCACTCATCTCAAAATTCTGCAGTGTTAGGTTCAAAAAAGAAGCTTGTGTTTACTTAAAAAACAGACACAGCAAATAACTCAAAGTTGGGGTTCAAATAAAAGACTAAAAGTGGCCCATGATGTCACAAGGGATGAATATTCTTCTCAAAGAATTTACATGCACAATAGGACTGAAAAGTACAAACCAAAAATGTTCCTTTAAATAAACAGAAACCCTGACTGCTTTTAATACTACAAACAAGACAAATTAAATAAGAGCTTCTCAGTTAGATTTCACTCATTTGAAATAATCTTAAAAACCACTTAAAGGTATAGTTTATTCTTCTTGTGCATCCTAAGACTGTTAAAGGGCACAAAATAAAATTAGTTTTCCTTTTCGAAGAGGGGCTATATGTTTTTTAAATGAGCAAAAATTTTTCATTCTGTTTCCATTCTCCGATTTGTTGAAAAAATTTTATTCTGGGGAATAAAAAAATGTAATAATGTAGAGGGCTAGCCTTCATTTTTTAAAAATGAATAGGCTTTAATACAAAGAGAAAGAAATGGCTCTATGGGCAAAATTCAAGTATGAGTGACCAATTTTTTAATTGTAAAGTAGGTGCAACATTTAAAAAGAAATGTTACAGCACTGCATGACTTGTAATGCTAACAATATTTACATTAACTGCTTACATGAAACCATAGAACTATAGAAGAGAGAGAAAAAAAAAACCATGTGGACTGAAACAATACCTAGAACTCACAACCAGTGGTAAGCAACCAGTGAAATCATGGGCACAGACATACTTTACATGGTCTACTGATGTAAAGTATACATGGGTGGGGGAAAGCACAAACCTAATTAGCTCAAAAATACCCAAAAGAAGGCTTGGTAGACACAAACTTAGTCTGAAGAGAAAAAGCTTCCACATGTCAACACACACGAACATCCACATATACATAGACATACCCAATACACACACACACACACATATGCTGTGAATCTGTAAATAAAAACACCTTTGTAGACAAACCAAGAAAAAAGCAGGTTGGTGCAAAAAAAAAAAAAAAAAAAAGGAGACATTAATGGTTTAAACATACCAAACATATCAACTTATAACAAAAATATGTCAACTAAAGTACACAGAAGATGACTTCAGGGGACTGTGGGAAAGACCAGGCAGGCAATCCCACTATTACATCAAAGACAACTCAACCGACCCCTAGAAGGAAGGGTTCCTGCCTCCGGGCTGTGGAGCCCAGTGTAGCCAGTTGCTTTCTGTCAGGCTTGGGAGGTAGGAGTGAGGGTGGAAATGGAAAGGACAGAGACACAGGAGACCTGGGGAAGAACTGAGAGCTATTGATACCAAAAGCGAGCTCCGTGTGCTCTGTGCTGTGGCCCCGAGAAATCAAGTGGAGGAATGACCTTGGTCTCCTTTTTCCTGAGTGACTGGAACTCTGCTACATCACGGGATGGAGGAGCTGCAGAGGTGGATGAGAGGAGAGGGAGGTGGTGGACACCAGGGGCTCAGAGTCGGCCGCTGGAGGGCCTCCCAGTGGCTGGAGCCCCAAGCTGGGGGAAGAGGCAGTCCTCTTCAGCGGGTTAAGGGTTTGGAGTTGGGGCTGGTGGTTCTATACCAGAACAAAAGGATAAGGAATCCCTTCCTGACTATCCGTCAATAGAATCCAACCCAATCAATTTCAGGCTGGGGCGGGGGGTGGGGGTGGGGCTGAAACTTGGCTCCATCGCCTGGGAGATAGGGTTACACCGCCACCACAAAAAAAAAAGAAGAAGAAGAAAATGTGAAAAAAAGACGGAAAATTATGTTGTGCTACATTTCTTATTAATAACCTTGTACTTTACAATGGCTCACAGTTTTAGGTTTTGTATACTTGCAATGTAGTATTTTCTCTCTACATTTGTTTCACATTTTTTTACTTACTTAATATAATATAAATAATTTGGTTAATAGATTCAACCTGCACATTTCAGCCACATTAATATATATAAGAATCTGTTAATGGTATAAATAATTCTTTAAATAAAATAAATCTGATATGTTACATAATACTGATAAAAAATTACCATTGCTAATAATTTTGTAAGCCACCTTAACTTCTGGTATAAGTAATACTGATGAATGGATATGAAACTTGGTTTGATTATTTGCATTTATTTTTGCTACTACAGAAAAACTGTATAATCAACCTTACCTCTGATAAATGTTTCAAAATGGGGGTTTGCCTCCAGGTATGGAAACAGAAAGTGTTATCTTGTCAGGTACTGTTTGCAAAAAAACCTCAACTCTGAGCATTAATGGTGGTGCAGCGTAAGTTTTCTAGTTCAGCAGGTGGCTATCAAATGTTAACTACAGAAATGACTGAGTAAAATATCCCATCTAAGATTTTTTTATAAAACCTATTCTACTTTAAAACTTAGGTAAAAAAAATATGCAACAAATGGTTGCAGTTTCTGAATTCTTAATTTAGATCTGTGAGCCCTCATCCCTTTAGAAATCTGCAAGGTTTCAATTTCCTAGACACCCAAAATCAAGTCCAGTGCTTCCAGGCAAGGTTCATTCCAAACAGACAATATAAATGGACACTCGGTGGTGTGCAGTGTATGTCATAATTCAGGTAATACATCATCATGCCTTTTCTCTGCTGTTAAATACAAAAACAGCATCTTTTACATTATCATAGAAAAGCATTTAGGTTGTATTTTTATTTATCACTTTACACTTGTAGTCTCTGGTAGGTGTACTCCATAGAAACCAAAGAATTTTGTACACTATTTCTTTGTACAATAAAAGATAAAGTGTGCATTAGGTACGCTTGTACATGACAATATTGTACAATATTTACATTTCTGATGTCACCAGGAAATTCTGTATTTTCTATATACAACATTGAAAATTCTTCAGAAACATTTGGACTATTTCTTATAATCACAATTTTAGTATTATAGAAAAAGAGTTTCTCCGTAATCTCTTGACCATTTACCACTCTCATCATTCAGGGATTCTGATTGGTCTTCCAGCATTCTTTATCCTTCCTGATCAAAAAAATATTGTATCACTGTTTCTTTTAGCACCCTGTGGTGGTGGTAACTATCTGCCATAGAATAAATATTGATATAACAGTGGCTATATCAATACTTATCTACAGACATATCTGTGCACATTCCTTTAATAAACACTGCGCATTGGTGGAGTAGTCCCTGTTATCTGGAGATCTTCCTCCTCTTGGGTTTGGGGGGTCTCATCTGTCTGTCTCCCTGTGGGATTTGGTGAACCTGAAAATAAAGAGGCAGGGAAAAAACAACAACAACAGAGATTGAAATCACGAACACCATAGGATTTCTGACAAGGAAACAGGGTAGGCAGCAGACTCTGGCTTTCATTTTCAATCACAGCTATCTTGAGGCATTTAACACTTTTACAAGACTCAGATCTCAGTGTGCCTACAGTCATGACAGAGGATGAGGAATCTTGGAAACTGACAAGCAGAGCAACACTCTGGATCTCCCAACCAGTGGAATACAAAAGAGGAACTGGAAAAAAATCAAAGTGGGAAAGGAGACGTGCAGTTGCTACCCCTGCTGTCCACTGAAGACGAAAATAAGACCTTTCCCATCAGAGAGCCCTGGATCACTAACTTCACTGGGGTTCTGGAAAAGTGGATAAATATATACTAAACATTTTCTTCTTTATTTCATCACTGGACTTATTTCATAACTACTAAGAAGGGTCAAAGATGATAAGAACATGCACACAGCTCAGCCCAAGGAGGTTTACTTATGAGAAGAATAAGGATGGAAAACAGAATACCCCTACCATCTGTTGGCAAATCTAAACTTGTGTAGTCTGGGAAAAGTAATGCATACAACTTATCTTTATATACTAACAGGGAAGCTAGTAGCATTTAAGGCTGTGCATCAGATTGCACAGAGGTAGATGAAGAGCAGAACTTGATTCCCAGGTATCAGACAGCAGGTCTGGTTTTAGGGGCAGAGGTGGGTCAGGTGTCCCACATTGTATTGAGGCTGTTGTGGTACTGACAGGAGGGGACAAGGTCAAGATCCAGGGGAGGCAGGATGCGCCCAAGGCAGTGGTATAATACACGCTTAATAACCAGCTCCCCGTGGAGAAATATAAGTCCATTGTAGTGTATGCCAATCTCTGTGGTATAAATGTTTTTACCATGGCCAATTTCAAGCTACCAATGTGATATCATAGAACTCAGGCTTAGAAGAGATGGGCAAAATCAGCTCTGAAGATCCATTACAAGTTGGCTCAACTGCATGTTGTAAAGATAATGTAACAGCAAGGACCATTGCTATTCAGAATCAAATACAGAAAACTAGTTTTTACAGATTTTTAAAAATGTGGACCATTTTTAAAGTATTTATTGAATTTGTTACAATATTGCTTTTGTTTTATGTTTTCATTCTTTGGCTGTGATGTATGTGGGATCTTCATTCCCTGAAAAATGATCACACCCACAGCCCCCTCCATTGGAAGGCAAAGTCTTAACCACTGGACTGGCAGGGAAATCCCCAGGAAACTTTTTAAAGTATTACATTTAAAAAATAACACCAATGAGTTTCTCACAGTGCCTCATCCTTCTAAACGCTCCATATACGTTCTTTAAAACCACTAGTCTCTGATAAAGAGTCCATTGAAACCTTTTTAAAATTGAGGAAAGAAGCTTTAATTCAAAGCTGCAAATTAGTAACCTGTGAACCAAATGCAGCCTAGAAAGGGATTGTGTTTAGCCCTATGGTGTTTTAATATTTTAAAAATAGCTGGCAACACTAAAGAATGAGAATTTTTACTTTCAGACTTGCAGTGTCTCATGAAAAAATGGGAAGATCTTGCAACACTGGCACAGTTCCCCACATGGCTCAAGCTCGCTGCAGCATGGAAGCAGAAGCTCCTTCTAGAGAGAACACAGCCCCCAGGTTGCCATGGCCCCCATCACTCCTGACTGCTTGCTGGCCACAAAGGCCAAAGATCTTGAGAGAGAGATTAAGGAGATGCCTGCCAAACACATTTCTCTTCTTCCTGAGCAGGCATGGTGTACAATACTTTTACCAGTCCCCTTGAATTAAGAAGGTCACATGATTGGGTCAAACCAGTGGAAAGTCAACGAAACAGATGAACTTCCCAGTCTGGCCCATAACACCTTATCCTGCCGTCCTCCGGGTACTTGGTTTTCTCTCTTGCTGCTGGGCTGGATGCTAAGGATGTGACGGAGCACTCTGAGGCCCTAGGGAATGGGGGACACTAGATAAGGACAGAACCTGAGCCCCGGAATGACTGTGTGAAGCAAGACTTCCTCAACCAGAATGAGACCCAAATGAGGAACAGCCTTTTTAAGGCATTAAGCCTCTAAGACTGAGAGTTGGTACGTAGCCTACCTTGACCAGGG